TTAGTTTTTCATTCTGGGGGACAAGCATCAGCTGTACATTATTGCGCCACACCAATACATTGGAAGGATTCCAGTGCTCTGTGATAGACATAGAGATCGGTACGTGATCCGACCATGTGATATCATGAATAGAGGATTTGGATACGTTAGTCAGGGTACGCTTGTTCGCCAAAAAGAAGTAAAATCTCGTTTGGAAGCATGCAGGCAGCGCCAGACATCATACAAAGACTCATCGTGAAGCAGCTGCTGCAGTTCCGAAGAAGATTTCCTAGTGGCATTGGAAGAGTCAAGGACGGCGTCAGGAGCCAAATTAAAGTCCCCACAAATTACAGTGTGACCTTGACGTATGGTATTCATTTTCTTGGCATTTCGGGGCTTGTGCAAGTGAAAAGTGTGTCTCTTGGACACATAGGACGTCCGCAGACAGAGACTGTGCCTCCTTCCACAACTGGTTCCTTTTAGCCGGGTGATTAAGTCCCTTAGCATTAAGGGAAACGATATTCACAGGCATTGTGGTTGGGGGTTAACGAAAAGCAAAATAGGCTCCATACTCACTCCCAAGCAGAAATGGGCACTGTTCGTCAGCCTCACCACTGTTGGTGATGGTATCCTAGGCCGGGTCCCGGTAATTACTCTGTCGTGGTGTGTATTGTTCAGTCCCGTACTTGGCACATAAAAGAAAAAGTGAGCCAGAAAAACAACAGGTAAACAAAACAAGGAAATAAAAAAAAGGCCCCTCCTGGGGACCAACATGCAGTTGGCCATCTTGCTAGGAGACACCGCTGGATGGGAGGTTGAATCATGGGCAGGAGGAATATTCCACTTCTCCAGGAGCGTCAGGCCATGCTCCAGGGAAAACAGCGTGTAGGACTCACCCTCTTTGGACACTGTGAGTTTAGCCGGGTATCCCCATCGGTACATAATTTGGTGGTTGCGCAGCACTCTGGTGACTGGTACAAGCCTTTTCCGAAACGGCATAGTATGCTGAGGCAGATCTGAGTAGAATTGAAGCCGGGAGTAGCTTGCAGGGAGTTTGGATGGGTCCGTCACCAGCTTGAGAAAGTGTTCTTTTACATGAAAAAAGTGCACCCGCATCAGCACATCCCTTGGTAGCTTTTCTGAAATATTAGGCGGTTTAGGCAAGCGATGAATGCGGTCTAGGATCATTTCCGTTTTAGGAATGTCCGGCATGATTACAAGCATGAGATCTTGCACATACGACCGCAGGTCAGCCAGGGCGACTGATTCAGGAATGCCGCGCACTTTCATGTTATTACGGCGGGACCTATCTTCCAGGTCAGCCAGTTTGGCCTTCATCCACTCATAGTCATCTTCCCTGGTGTTGTGGGCATTGACCAAAACGTTGAATGTAGTGGCAAATTCTCCCAACATATCCTCTATATGCGACACTCTGTCACCCACTTGTTGTAAATCAGATTTGAATTGGGTGATTAGGGACTGCATATCTGAGCTCAATTAACTCCTTAAAGATATCAGCATGTCCTTAAGTGTAGAATCAGAGATGGGCTGGAGTGATATGGGGTAAGCCTCAATGGGTGCTACCAACTGGTGTCATCCAGGGACGAATTAAGCAGGCTCACCTCCCTCTGGTCGTCTCCAGGGGTTGTCATCCGCTGCCTTGTCAGGTCTGGACTCCAGTCCGCAGGGGTGCCGGTCTTGGACGACCCAGAAGAGGAGCCCGAATCCGCCTGCTTCCCTGTAGAGGTCCCGCTGGGCGCGTGCTCTGTATGTGGGGTCTGCCGTTGCTCTCATGCGGAAGAGCCGGCGCCATCTTGGCCGCGTCTCCGTCCCGATGGACCGAAGAAGTCTGTCAGCTTCTGCTGCCGTTTACCCCTCCGTTTCTGCGACCGCTTCATCCCCGGGGGCCAGAGGAGTCAGAGGAGGGTTCCGGTGAGTAGCAGATAGGACCTGGTTGTCGCTTTTAGCCGCCTCGAGGCCCGTCGCTGCACGGAGCTCTAGGCAGAAGCGTCCATGCAGCGCGTCAGCAAGCCACGCCCTCCCCCCATAAACTTTTTATGGCCAATAAATTGCATATAAGCCTTCAAAATGGGGACATTTTATTTTCAAAGTTCTACCCCCCTCCACAGACTTGCATTGAGTTCAAACTTTTCCCATGTTAGAAAGTTCGAATTCGAAACGAACACAGGGGTGTCCGGCCCCCCATCACTAATACCTACCACTTTGAAGATGCAAAATGTATTTTATTATGATACAAACAAGAAATAAGACAAAACTCCCCCCAGAAAACTTGAGCATGCATAATTATCCCCCCCCCCCCCCCACCAACACGTCTTTGTACTGCGCACTCTGCAC